TCAAGACGGATCTTAGACAATGGAGTATTGCTCGCTTGAGACACCCTCACCCGATGATGTTTTTTTACACAGGACGGTCCGCTGAAAAAACCTTGTTTTTCGCAGGCAATCAGGGGAATGGAAAAGCCATCTTGAGGTATGACACTAGGTCTTGTGTAATCACAAAGCACTCCTCCTTGCGGCTCATTTTTGGATTTCTGTAATTTGTAAAGAGCACTAGGCGGATCTCTTTCATGTGAGGGATCCCGAGACGATTAGTCGCGAGGCTACGTGGAACGTCCTTAGCCAGCGAATAGTGGTTTAACCGCGGACCAAAATCGAACGTGCTTGTCTGAGACGCAGATGGATCCAGGGCTGGACTCACGCTTTCTGCTGCGTCGGCTTGCTACTACTTTCTCTACCTGCAAGACTAACTCACACATGCGTTCTTGGGTATGCTCTCGTTTATGGGCGTTGTATTCTACGAACCAATGCGGCCAAAAGTCTGCAATCAAGTGACAGGAAAAAATATGAGAGGTGGTTAAGGATCGCCTCCAACAAATAAGCTCTGTGTCCACTCTGGGAGAGACTTGTAAGTTACCAGTGAACATACCCAGCCACCACGTTCAGAGTTCATCAATCTAACGTGGTAATCGAAAAGCTAAACACAATAAAAGAAATGGGCTCCACTCCCCTGAACCCGAAGGACCCGCGATTCGGCAGCGTTAAAGATGCCGCTCTGAGCGTGGTGGCTGGGTATGTTCACATGAAAAAACATGAAAGATGCCGCTAAAATCTCAGGGCCATTTTAACGTGCCTAAATCGCAATGGACTAAGGTGACGATCCGTATCTACAATGTACGCTCACTTGCATCTGAGTTTTCGATGGAAGACTTAAACTGTTTAAGTAAGGACGATAAAGTACTACGTTATCGGACTGGCCAAGACGAGACAACGCCACCCATGCAACGCCGTTTAGGACACCGGCAAAAAACTGCTCCTAGGAGCATGAGAGAGTAGAAGGGTCGGCGGTGTCACAGTTTTCGCCAACACGACTTTATCCATAAACATCGATCCATTCGAATAACAAAGAATCGGATGTTTATGACTAAAAAGATGTACATCAATACCGGCTTTCACAGCCTTCGTCGTTTACGCGCCGACATCAAACTATGACGAAGAAGAAGTCGAAGCGTTCTATATGGACTTGGAGAAGTCCTACAGAGAAGACCACACATTCTTTAAGGTTATCATTGGAGATTTAACGTTGAGATTGAAATAGGAACTTTTGAAGAAGGTCACATTAGAACTTAGAGAAATAGAACTGAACAAGTAGGGAGAGCGGCTGACTGAGTTTACCACGACGAACAAGACCATCCACGGTAACTCGAAATTCCAGAAGCCCCACCTTCAACTCTGGATGCGGAAGTCCTTCAGTGGAGTGTACCATAACGAAATAGACCACATCATAGTGTAATCGAAGATTTTGCCTTACGGATGTTGCTGTTGTCCTAAAGTTCTACACGAGATCAAACCATCGTCTCTTTTGCGCAAGATTTTACTTTTCCGGAAAGGAGAAAAAGCCGCTAAATTCCAAAACTGGAGTCCCAGAATCAACGCAAACTGGGACTTATTCAATTCATTAGTCGGCTGTTGAGAAGATGCCGTTGTCGATAACTTCGGCGAAAAATGCGATAGGCTCATTCAGCAGCTTTAGTTAGCGCCACGAAAGCCGAGAGTTCGAAAGTCACTAAGATACGTTTGTCTCCAGAAACACTCGAGCTGATACGCCAGCGTGGAAACGCTCCAGATGCATGCAACTGCGAACTAACGTCCAAACTCGCAAAACATTGCAGACAGGCGATAAAAGAAGATGTTTAAGAAAGAATAGCAGCAGCAATTGCCGATGCTGAAGAGGCAGGAAAAACATTCGCAAAGCCCGCCGAAGTTCCAGCAATAACAAAGCCAAGATGATTGCAGCAGGACGCCCAGACTGAATAGTTACAGCGTCCAGAAAGTTAATGAAGAAAACCGCTCAAGGTTGCCATTCAGAGCTCTTCAATAGCCGCGTCCTCCTTCCCTCATGTCAAATATAGAAGGATGAATATGTTCTTCGTGAGCTGTAGAAAAATTTCACAACCAACATATCACCATTCTACAACGATATCACAAAAGACGTCACTGACGTCAAAAGAGGCATTAGGCAAGCCGATACCATCTCGCCAAAATTATTCACCACACCCTCGAGAACCTCATGCGAGCATTAGAATAGAATAATATTGGAATAAAAATCGATGGTCAGCAGTTACACCATTTTCGGTTTGCCCATGATAACTTCCTTATAACACCAGACATTACCAAGCAGAACGTATGCTTGCCGACGTTGACAAAGCCGGTGGAGGGATTGGTCTCCGACTAAATCTCACAAAAACGATGTTCATGAAGAACGGATTGGTCTCGTATGCCCCATTCACGCTCAACGGAACGAATATCTCCGAATGCTCTAGTTATGTCTAGTTATGTCTATCTAGGTCGGGAAATCAGTACGATGAACAACTTAGCTCCAGATCTAAGCTGAAGAAAACGAACGGCTTAGGAAGCTTTCAACAGAATCGAAAATGTAGAGAAGAGAACGTAGAGAATGAAGAGAACAAAGAACACTCGACTCCGTGCCCACCTTTTCGACTCAACGATACTTCCTGCGATAACACATGCGTGAGAAATCTGGTCACTGCGTAAGCAGGATGAAAGATCACTCAGTCGAAAGATCGAACACGCAGTCGAAAGGACGATGCTAGGAGTATCCCGCTTAACACAAATGAGAGATGAGATCCAAAGCTCCGACCTGGGTTAACGATCAAAAGTCAATGATGCCGGCTCCTACACTGAACAGTCGAAGATAAAGTGGGTTAGACACATAATGCGTTTGAACGACAGCCGATAGGTAACGGCCGTTTGTCACTGGATTCCTCAACTTGTCAAAAACTCTGCAAGAAGACCGCTTACCTAATAATCAAAGCTCTTCACGAAAAGATTGGAAGGAAGGTATGATCCTCAATGAATCCACAAAGCGAGCGGTGCCAGCTTGGCTCCTGTTGCACGAAATATGGAAAAACGGAAGGTATTATTGGCTTGCGCTCGAATCACTCGAAGATCAGCGGGAATACAGAACTCTTCAAAGGTATCACGCACTGATATTTTCCTTAGCTTAGGCAAGCACTTAACTAAATAAATTGCGTATCAATTTGGCCTTCCTAGGCTATGAAGGAGGCGAAATTGCAGAAGCGTTTGATATTGTCAGGTAAATAAATGTAATAATAATAACCTCATGTTTGATCTTTAAGAGAACAGTGAATTATTGACCAGACCACCAATTAAAAGAAAGCCGATCTTGAGGTATGTTTTAAATTTTTAGTTGGTCTTGGGATTACACGAACTCTCCGATAATGTCGCAGTTGGAATTCATAATTTCCATGCCAATCCTTTTCTTCACCTTCGTCATCTACATAGCGATTTGCATCACCGTATATAGAGTTCGTTTGCTTATTATTCATATAGCTCAATTTTTGTTTTTTTACATTACATATATTTAGTATTCGATGATTTAAAATCGTTTTCTAACTTGTGGTTTGCCAATGATGTGGTCCTTTTCTCGAAAAATGCTAGAGAACAGAGACGATGCTCTGTGAGTTCAGAGAGGCAGCAAAAGGATAAAACCACAAAGCAATTGGAAGAAACTCCTGTTGCTAAGAGCCCAAACACTTTTTGCCAGTTCTGCCTGCAAAAATCACACCAGTGATATTTAATGATTATGAAAAGCAGAATAAATATGGAATTGTGCAAGAGAAGGAAAGCAGTACTGATAGCGTTCGAGGTAGTGTCAGAGAAGCCAGAAACGGCTTCATGCGAACTTACAAACTCATTGCTTAAATTAACAGTTCTGCTACGCGGCTAACTCACTGTTGAACGCCTGAACCTCGTCGTGAAGTTCAAACATCGTCAACGAAAGTCTGGACGATATCGTATATCATTCAAACGCCGTAGATGAGATCTAAGCGAATTGCGCAGCTCAGACATTCGTTAAAAAAATCTTAACTCCACTGTCAAGGAAAATATATATTGACTGTGAAATATGAATAAATTATAAGGACACCGAGATATTCGCCTCCTGAGTGCTTGTGTCTGCGGTGGAGACCGAACACGCTATTACGCTTGCATGGGGTAACCCGTTCAGCACCACAGCATGCGAGTCTCTCGTTTCGCCTTTCTCTCAGCAATGTTATTGACCTGCAATGCCGATTTGTGCTTACCAGACCAGTCCTGTTGACGGGTAATTGCCGATAGATCCTGTAGGTCAATGGTATGGCTGAGAGAAAGACGAAACGAAGGACTCGAATGACGTGGTGGTGAACACGTTAGCCCTTGGAAATGGTAACAGCGCGTTCGTTCTCCGCCGCAGACACCATCTCTCCGGAGTTTGGCAAATATCCCAACATCGTTTTGGTTATGTTTTATGTAATATTCTGCCGTCAAAAAAAAGGTAGGCAGTAAAAAAAGTGACGGGATAGATGAATTAGTTATTGATAAGAACATTTGACGACAAATGACTAATCACTGGGTTGAGTTCGCAGCTACAAGTGTTTTTATAAAAATGTAATAAAAGAATGAGATGGTTTGTATTAGGACCAGCGCGATCTCTGATACTGAACTGTCTAAGTAACCAAGTAAATAATGTACTCGATGACTCGGAATTGATGTTATGTTGCTCTGGGTTGATGCAGAAGTCGCTGCTTGTTTCCGAAAAGAATTCTTGCCACGAGGCGGAAAGAAAGCTTCTTTTCGTTTCATAAATCGGTGGCCGTATTTAGTAGAAGTCTTCGAGCCTTATGGCGCTGTTGTATCAGAATTTAGAAAAACAAGCTGAGCTCAAACAGTTTCCAATATTGTCAGTGAGGACGCAGAAGAATTGCCCGTGAAGTCTGGCTATAAAAGAGACCTTGCGATGCTATTATTACTATTAATATTCGTATGAAATGCTGAGATATTTGCAAAGCTCCGGACCACAGGTGTATGCAGTGGGGAACGAACACGCGCTGTTGTCCTTACCGGGGAGCAGCGCACTTCACCACTACACCATCCGGGTCTTTCGCTTTGCCTGTATCTCAGCTAGTTCTATCGATCTTTTTTGCCATCAGCAATCACCCGTCAACTATTAATATTATTATTGTTGGCATTACTATTATTAATGACTTATTAATGTTCTATGTGCAGCCATGCACTGCTTTAATAGGCACATTTCCAGATGAGGAAGGGAATAAATACGATGCACAAGACCGAGCTACAGATGATCACTCAGGCGGTAATTTTATTTCTGGTGTTGGCGAGTTTGATGACTTTCTGGCATTATCACCAACTTTTCCTTCCGGATTCGATATGGACGATGTTTGCCATAAATCTTTACTGGATCATGTATTGTGGTCTGAATCCGCTCTTGTACTTAGCATGTTCGAAGTGAGCCGGTTACTATATTAGCAAACTATTCTTGAAAAATCGTTACAGTCACTCAATCCCAATCCATCACTTTTGTTTAAAGAGGTTTTTTTTTAAATCGACAGAGAAGCCTCTTGTGTATCGCAAGAAATAAATGAATAGCCACTTTATAAATGAATGTTTCGAAGTAGAGAAGTAGAAGAAACGTTATGATAAGTGCTTTTGTGCGTTTCAACAGTTAGAAACGGCACATAGCTATTTCAGATGCTCTCCTTTCCGTTATAAGGATAAAACTAGACTGATTTCTCTATAGTGTGCAAAAGTACAATTAATAGTAAAATTTTAACAGTAGGAAGTGGTAAGTTGAATACAATGATCCAGCAAAATATCTGTTTCGCAGGAGGATCCGCCGATCGTTTCTACAACTCATTGGTGTGAAATCACTGGAGCAGAGCGCTGCCACCGTTACATCGACATTCTTTGTGAAGCGAGGGCCGATGTCCCTTAAGAGACGAATATGTTGAGTACCGTGAATTCAGAAGATCACTGTTCGACTTCGACGACTGTTCTATTGTCAAATCTTTATATCTAGAATGAATCGTTCTCGTCTTTTTCAATTTTCATTTTACGACAATCGACGTTTATAAAAGGAGAGCAATGAGGCTGTTTCATTCTAGCGGTGCCCCACGGTATTCGACTTGACGCTGCTACGATGACCGCCATCGGAATAAGAAGCAACTGTGGATGATCGAATCAGATCAATCTGGCCCAGCTTAAGACTAAGATGTCAAAACATTAGCTGAATAGTAACAACCTCGTACTAGCTTAACAATGAAGGAAAGTGTAATGAACAATTGTTCAGTTGTGTCAACGGCAATACAGTAACCGATGGACATACCACATTTTTGTGAACAACATGCGACATCAATCCATTTCTCCTAAAGACAATAAACGATTGTAAAGATGTTTCCTTGAGGTTTTCATTTTTTCCAAACATGTCATTGTAATAATAATTAGCATTAAGTCCGTTAGCGTTCAACTACCGAGTGTTTTTCTTCGTTACAATGTTATGAAATATGAAGGAGTGAGAAAGTCTCAAGTGCGACGAGTATGCGAACCTTCCTGGAAGATTTCTCTAAATATGCGTCGCATATACTTTTACTAACATTCATGCTTTTATAGATAAATTCACAATTCCCAAAGCCAAATATAAAGATCGAGAAAGACGACAGTCTTCATTTAGCTAAATCTTAGGCTCCTTCACCTTGTTATTGTATAGATTATTCACTAAGGAGCTCATAAACGATTTATGAATAGTTTTTTGGAAACTTTTATAAAAAGGGTAGAAACTGCTGGAAGTATTCTAATCTTAATGTGGTGTCTTGGTCCTCATATCCAGCCAGATCTTCTATACTGGAACACCGTCGAACGAGGCAACCTCACACGGCGATGCCCTCTTATACAAATGGTTGCTGTCGATATGGTTGTCTGCTGAAAATAACTTATTTTTTCCGTACAATCCATTTGCAGAACTCGGTATCAGAACCAGCGATCACAGATAGTAACAATACTTCAGAGACAGATTTTCGTTTACTCGGTATGACTTTCTTGCACTGATGAACTGTTCTGAGATAAACGATAAATGCCAAAAACCCTACAATGAATAGCAGAGATGAATGCCCAGAGGTCATGCGCGACCTGATCCCGTATGTTCGCATCAATTTCTGATGTGGAATGGTGCAGTCATCAACCACATGCGACTATAATCAGCTGTTCTAAATTTCCTCATTGGAAGTGACGTGGAAAGCGGTGAGTTTTTCCAGAAGCTGTTGATCATGTAATTACCATAGAGTTTTTCGTCTTTTTGTAAGTGTTATTGAAGCGTTTGGCTTAGTAGATTGCCTATCAGTATACTCTTCCAGGCTCTGAAGAAGGATATACTGCCGAAACGTCAGCTAGTGTTGTATTGTATTGTGTTTTTCTATGGAAGTAAATGTATGCTGTTTAAAAAATTCGCGACTGCTAAACAAGAAAACGATAAACTTTTGATCGCCAAAGGACTTGCGGGTTCGAAAAAATTATAAACTTAGTGTGGAAAACCTCGTTGGAGTGAGTGAATGCATATTTGGTGTTTACAATGTCTTCCCATCCTCCTAGACACGTCTGGTACCAATTTCCGAACCCGGTCGGATGGAGGGTTTGCTGGGTCAGGGACGCGGGGGTCGATCTCATGTGTGTGTCGTAGGCCGCCTCCGATCACTGTGCCACACATGCCTCTGGGAGGATAAAACCACTTACAAGTGTGCTATCAGTTGCTGACCTAAGGAAGATGGGAGCCTCGTGGTTGAATCAACGACGGTATGTGAATTGCAAAGTAGCTCTAATAACAGCGCTGCATTAAATGCATATATATATATATATATGTATATATGTATGTGGCATGGAGGCAGATAGCACAGTGGTAATGATGCCGATTATCACGAGCATGGTGATCGTTGATCGGCTCACCACGCCCGTCATCCCCTCAGGGTCAGAAAATTGGTACCGGACTTGTTCGGGAAAAAACCGCTCTCTGCAGTACAATTGGGAAGGCTCCAGCCCTGCCGGTTCAGGACTGCGAAAAGAATTGCTCGACCAGCATTCTACGACATTCAAAATGAAATGAAAATCCTCAAGCAACGACCGAAACCACACGTAAAATTTGAACGATCTTCGTGGGTAACGGATGCTAGAAAACGAATCGGCTGCGAAAAGTGATGGAATTCTCACAGTGGACAACAGGATTGGTCAAATAAAATTAAACTATTTTTGTACGTGTATAATGGTTGCTACAGTTAGTCCTCACCGAAATTGAAACGAATGTATCCCTCCACGTTTTCTTTCGACATCTCTTCATCATCATCGCTATAGCACAAAAATGGTAACAACACATGTGTTATGAGTTTCTAAAACGTCCCCTAAGATGTTCGGTGTTCGTTCATTCTATGTTCGAAGCATAGAACTCCGGTTCTTCGTTGTCAAGGAATCGAAACCTTGCGAAAAGAAATAACATAGAAGTATACGTGGGTATTACGGTCCGCCAACATATAGAATTTGCTATAGCACTATTTGTAAACGAAAGCACATAGTGCAAAACCTGAGAAAAAACACAAAACAAGTGGAAATAGTAGAATGCTGCTATACTGCATTGTATGAAACGGAATATTTAAAAAGCTTACTCTATCCGACACGTTTACGTTGTTTCGACGAGCATTCAAAATTGACAGTGAGGGTTGAAGAACAAGAGTAGCTCATTTTGTGACGAATTATCTTGCCAGGAAACTGTTCAGCTTACACGTCGTTGTAACACAACTTTTATTTGGCTAACGTTTCGACGTCTTCGTCTTCCTGAGAACCGATGATCCAAGTCCATGTCCACAGTTGTTCGTACTCTCGATGTGGCCTTCTTGTAGCCGTATCGAGTCGAATCTTGTTCACACGAGCACAGCTCGAATGATGCAGCCTCAGTCGGCAACGCTGGTTTATACAAGAACTTGTCTTTTTTTTCGCACAATTCACCCTGCAGCAAACGGCATCATTACTATCTTGTACATAGTGTGATAATATTTCGAGAACCAACATTCCGTAAACGGTCTGATGCTTAACATGCTTGTTTAGATAACTCGGTTTCTAAGACGCTAGCTAGTTCGAGGTCGCTTGCATAACTGTCTGTTTAGAAAATAAAACGGCATAATTTGCTCAAACGGCGGAGACTGTAATTGCTTGAGTTCGGGTACGGTTGATATGATCACGTGTAATGCGGGTGGGACGAATATAATGCCTAAATGGGTACACCACTCTGCACTCCTGTAAAAGAACATATAGTCGGTAAACGTAATGTTAAACAAAATACTCCGCTAGGTGCGCATAGGACCTAAAGACGTAACGGAGAAGATTTTGAAGTACAACTTACCATTTTCATGCAAGAATCTAAAGCTTTAAAACGCAAAACTCTCAAAGCATTCTCCGTAATTTTCGTGAATCCGAAAATGGACAGCAAGGATACATGCGCAGTTATCACGCGTAACCCTACAGAACGTCTCAGACTGATATTTCAGTGCGGACAAGGCATATTATTCATTGATGTGAACTCTGCACAGTTCGTCTTCGTTAATAAGTGAAACACTTATAAAAAACAAAACAAATAGTGGTTTTAAAAAAAGCTTCTCATGCGAATAAAAATTGGGTGCTGAGCTTTCTCTGCTGAGGTTAGAAAGGTGTTTGCTAAGTAGACTACTCATCAATTTGATCTCTCGAGGATCTCTAAAAAGCGAAATCCGTCGAAACGTCAGCTATGGCGAGAAACAAATAAGAAAACAGTGAACTATTGGTCAATGCCGAGGTTAAGGGAGTTCACTAAGCTCAACTTACTGCTTGATGTTGAATAAGTTGCGCTATAAAATGAAAATACAAAATGTAGGAAAGTTATGCGAACTTGACAACATGAATACTTGTAGATAGTTGAGTCATCAAACGCAGTCTGAGCCCAAAATTTTTGTAAATTAAAGGAATGAAAAAATTTCAGGAAGCTGAAGATTCAAATACCGATTCTCGACAGAAACTGGGCAGGCTCACTTCTTTCAACTCATTTCCTTGTTTGATCCTCAAGTTAGTCGGACCTTTTCCTTCATTCTTTGATGTTCCGATAATCCACCTAACCAAAAAGAGTAGACCTAATCCTGGAACCCTTTATATCTTGTGTATAGAGAATATTACACCATAAAATAGGTAATACCCACCATTCTTCAATACACTTTTTTACACCACAGGTGATTGAATGCATATCTGGCAGTGGTGATTGGATGCATATCTCACCGATACAGTGTGTCGTATTGGGCCTACCGACTTGTCAGTCCAGTGCTGCTGCTCTCCCATTTAAGCCTACTGGATTGGCAATTGCGAACCTCAGAGTAATAGAAGGCTTGATAATCACACGCCAAAGTCTTGTACAAAATGGCTTGTCGGGCCCATGTGTCCGTGCTATGAGGGAAAGTTGGAAGCTGGACGAATTGTGTCTCGTGGGTGTTATGACAGGTATGGTCGACAAGCTGTTTCCTAAAATTGATATTTCACAAACACAAATCTTTTCGAGCAAGTTCATTGGCCAGTAATTTGAAAGGAGCCGACCGTTTTGCAAATTCCACTAATCAAGAAGAACCGTGGTTATAGCATGAGCTTTCGCTTGTTAGGTGGTAACGATTTTTAGTGCATATGTAATGAAGTCCCTCTAAATATCATTTTGTATCGGAGGTGAATGTTAAGCCCTTATAAACCTAAATAAGGAATGGAAAGTCAATCAATCCTTTATGACCATCTTTATTTCCAGCCCCTCACTCTTTCTCCTCGGCTAGTGCTCGATGCTGTATAAAGGACGTCATATGCAATGTGAAAATGATGATTAGTGGACACTAGTTTTTGTTTTTAATTTCACCCATAGAGAATAACGCTAAACGGAACAAATATCTCCGATTGGCTCAGCTATTTC